CTATCTGTCCATCTGTTCCCTTTGCTTTTTATCTTCCAGTGATTCCTCCAAATTTCTCATCAACTGATAATGTGTTTACTTCTGATCTAAATAACAAAATTCTTTCTTTCTTTTTTTCTTTTTTTGCTCCCTTGTCATTGTTCTCTGTTTCTTCTTCATCCCCGCTTTCTCCTCTTCCTTTCCCCCTCTTCTTCTTATATATTTCTCCTTCATTTCTAGAAATTTGGGGCAGATAGGAAGGGAAGTTGGCCCGGCCCATCATCTTAATCTAAGTCTGAGCACTATGTATAATAGTGAAATATGAGAAAAAACTAAAATGAAGAATGATTAATTTGCAGTACACCAACAGAGTGACACATCATACAACCATTAAATATTTATGTTTGAAGAATGCTTCATCCCTGCAAAGTATGTGATTCATTAAGTATAAAAAGCAAAACTTGAGACTGTATTTATAGTACGATCACAATAAAAAACAAAAGAAAGCATTACTAAGTTCCTAGGGAAAAAACTGGGTCTAATATGCCAAAATATTAATCAAATATCAGTCATGTAATTGTAAAATATGTGTCCTATCCCTTACAGGCTAACGGCTAGTGGCTCAGCCGCTGCCTGTAACTCCTTGCGTGCTGTGGTCCCCAGGTAATCTGTCCCTTCGTTGTGGTCTATTTTCCTTTTTCTTCACTCAGCTACAGCCACACTGGCTTCCTTTTTGTTCCTTGAACACATCAAACTTGCTTCTACCCCAGGACCTCTCCCTTTATGGTTTCCTGAGCGTGGTACACTATTTCCCCAGGCAGTCCCATGGCTTAGTCCCTTATTTCGTTCAGGCTTCTGATCTGACTTCATCTTATCAGACTATCTTATAAAAATAGCATCTTTGTCTTCACTATCACTCTCTGCCCCCCCACACTGTTTTTTCTTTATAGCAAATTGCTATCTTAGTATATTTGTTTATTTCCTCCCCCACTAGAATATGAATGCCATGAAAGCAGCAACTTTTGTTGTCTTTTTCTTTTTTTTTTAAGATTGGCACCTGAGCTAACATCTGTTGCCAATCTTCTTTTTTTCCCCCTTGTTCTTCTCCCCGAAGGCCCCCAGCAAGTAGTTGTATACTCTAGTTGTAGGTCCTTCGGGTTGTGCTATGTGGAACGCTGCCTGAGCGTGGCGTGATGAGAAGTGCTGGGTCCGCACCCAGGATCCGAACCGGTGAAATCGTGGGCCACCGAAGCGGAGCCTGTGAACTTAACCACTCGGCCACGGGACTGGCCCCCGACTTTGTCTTCTTAACTGCTCTATCTTCAGGATCTAGAACAGTGCCTGGCACATAGCAGGTACTTCATAAATGTTTGTTAAATAAATGTATGAATGACTATCTAAAATAAAACAGGCAACCTGTTATTTTAGCCTCTCATTTTACTTAACAAAGTTTATCTGGACCCTAACTTCTTATGAAGTTTAAGGAGTTAGTATGGAGTCTGGAAATAATATTTAAAATGTAGATTTTTAAACTTAGGTTTTACAAATTATATTTTGCTTAAGAATTGCTAGCAGTGGATGAAGTTCTCATCCTATTTCAGGGTTGGCTTTTTGAATTGCAAGAAAAATTAAATAAGGTAAATGAGTATATTATTATTTGTTAAGTGCCTACTATATTGTGTTTTTATACATAATCTTAATTAATCTTTGCTACGTACAAGTGAAACAGAGATTATTATCCCTAATTTTCAGATGAGGAAGTGAGGCCAAGGAGGATAAACCATTCGGCCAACGGTACAAAGAAGTAAGTCATAGGGTCTGGATTTGAACCTAGGTCCTCAAACTCTGAGTCTAGTGCTTTCTCCCTAGATTAATTCAGTGATTTAAAAAATATTTATTGAGCACGTACTCTGTGCCAGGCTCTGTTTATGCAGCAGGGATACAGCAACGAGCAAAACAGAAAAAAAATCCTCATACTTTGTTACACTCTGGTGGTGGTGGCAAGGGAGACAGAAAAACAATGATAAATTGGCAAGTAAAAAGTGTATGAGATGCCTGATGAGATGGTGACTAGTGCTATGGAGAAAATGAAGCAGAGAAGGAGCTGGGGGTTCTGGAAAGAGTATTGATGATGGTAGAATTAGCTTTTTAAATAAGGTATTTAGGGAATACTTCACTGAGAAAATGACATCTGAGCTGCAATCATCTCGGGAAAGAACATCCTTAGTTGGGGGACGGCAGGTGCAAAGGCTCTGAGGCTACCGTGTGCTTGATATATTTGAGGAAAAACAAGGATGCTAGTGTGGCTGAAGTGGAATGACCAAGACGCAGAGTAGTAGGAGATCAATGCCAGGCAAGTAGAGGGGAGGGAATTAGACAGTTAGGGCTTTGTAGGAGGTTTTAAGGACTTTGACTTTTATGGTGAATAAAATGAGGAGCTATCGGACAGTTTTGAGCAGAGGAGTCACGTGATATGATTTATGTTTTAAAAGAATTCATGTGATTTATGTTTACTGAACAGGTTTGGCTTGAAAGACCAAAGTTTAGTTTTATCCATCTTAAGTTTGAGATGCCTGACATCTCAAGTAGAAATATTGAGCAGGCAATCGGATATAGAGTCTGGAGTCCAAGGGAGAGGTCTGAACTGAAGATATAAATTTGGAAATTGTCAGCACATTGATGGTATTTAATATGTTTGCATGAAAGCACCTAGGGAATGAGTGAAGATGGGGAAGAGGTCCAAAGATTGAAATCTGGGGCTCAACATTAAAAGCCAGCAAACGAGACTGAGAAGGAGCATCTTGCAAGGTGGAAAGACAACCAGGAGAATGGAGCTTTCTGGAAGCCAAGAGAAGCAAGTGCTGAAAGGAGGCGGGGATACCCAACTGTGTAAGATGATCCAGAACTGATGTGTGTGGACTGGAGAGGAGGGAGAGAAATAGTTGGGGATATTTCCATTTGTTTCAGCTAAGAAACTTTTCTTCATCCCCAAATCCTCTGTAAGCCCAGCCATGTGGTGATGTAAGGTGATGGGCTGGGTTGGGCGCCATGGTTGACTTGTTTTTAGTATGTGTAATCCCCCTGTCCCTCCTCTGCCCCAGTTACTGATGATTCTGGCGAGGAATGTTTCCACGGGGATGTGTGCATTTGCTATGATGATCCTGGCGAGGAACGTTTCCACGGGGATGTGTGCATTTGCTATGTCTGGCTTATAGACAAGTAAATACAAATGCTGCTTTATCAATTTACAGTACAATTTCTCTGTGGCCAAAAGCAGAGTGAGAAGTCTGCCTCCAACTTCCTTCAGGATAGAGGCCAAACTCCTTAGCATGCCCTATCATCCTTCATTATATGGCTTTGTTTCTTGCCATCTTCCCACTTCTCCACTTCCCCTTCTTTCCCCAACCCCTCCTCCCCTCTCCACACTCCCCCATGCTCCACTCACACAGGACTTCCTGCTCTCCTCTAGGCACACTGTGCTCTTCCATGCCTCTGTCCTTTACACATGCTATTCCTTACGCCTGCAATGCCCTTCTCTGCTTTTGTGCTCAGGAAGGCACTGCTGGTCCTTGGAAGCCCAACTCATGTGGAATTTCCCCTGTGAAATCTTTCTTATCCCCAGGCTGGAATACTTACTCCTTTCTCTGCTTCCCCCTCTCCTATATAATTTACACATTTATTGAAATTTTTTATATGTCTGACATTTCTTATTTGATTTTATGGTCCTCAAAGTCAAGGATCTTACTTATCTCCCTATCCCCTGCTCTGTCTGCCACATAGTAGGGACTTAATGATAATAATAGCCAACTTAAAAAAATTCATAATATACTTGTCTTTGTGCTAAGTGCTTTTGCATGTATTTCTCATTTTATCCTCACAGCAACTGTCTGAGGTAAGGTTTATTATTTTCCCATGCTGTAGATGAAGAGACTGAGGTTCACAGTGGTTATGAAATTGCCAAAGGCTACATAACCTAGATTTCAAATCTAGTTGATTACAGGGCTTGAGTATTTAATTATTTTTCTGTACACTTAAAGGAGAAAGGAAGGAAAGGTTAGGAATGGAAGTTGCTTTTTGGTTTTCTGGGGTCCAAAAGTCCCATGTTTTCATCTTTCATTAATTTCTAAACAAATGTGCCTTGCATTTACCATCTTTCTAAATGACTATGGGGCATAAAATCTGTGTAGGTCTGATCTAATCAGTTGCAAGGCCTTAAGAACAGAACTAAGGTTTCCCAGAGGAAGAAGGAATTCCACCTGTGGACTGCAGCATCGGCTCCTGCAGGAGGGTTTCCAGCCTTCCTCCCCGACAGCCTGCCTCAAGGATTTCAGACTTGCCTAGCCAACTCCTACAATTGCATATGCCAATTCCTTGCAATAAATCTTTCTCTCTGTATCTTCATCTCTCTCTATATATACCTTCTATCCCTTTATATATATCCTACTGGTTCTGTTTTTCTGGTGGCACCTTGACTGATACAGTGAGCAAGTCAAAAATGTGTCTATAAGAGAAATTAAGGAGAAAAAAGTAGCTGAGTAAAGGAAAGAGAAGAAAATGGTAATATTGTAATAGATCGTATGAAGAACGGTCAAGGAGCGGAATTGGAGGGTTAATTGTCATCCTTTAAGACTCTGCTTAGATGCCTCCTTGTCCACACTGCCTTCCTTTGCCTCCTAGCCTGAGCAGTTCTTATTCTGTCTCGCCTGTTGTCATCTATCGACTTAGGTATTGTAATTGCATGTGATATGTTTGTGATCCCTCACCCTCCTTCTCCATTTCTTGGGATGTGAGTTTTGAGATCTCAGGGTATAATTCCTCTGTTTATCCTTAGCACCTAGCTCAGTGCTTGACTCATATTAGGGGATGAGTAAATATTTGTTGATAAGTGAATGAGAGTTCACAGCCTTATGTGCATAGAGATGCCCAGCCCAGGCTAGCCCAGGGACCAGGGAGGGCTTTCTGGAGTAAGCAGCCTCTGAGGACCATCAGAAGGAAACCCCAGGCAGTTGTTCTGGCTCTCTTTCCCTCTATCCATTTATTGGTGCCTTTCAGACCACACACTTTGCTGAGTCCCCTTCTTGGCAAGGTGGTCCCACCAACATACTTCCAGCGCTTCTAGGAAATGACGGGCACTGCCTCTTACTTGATGCTGCTTTATTGAAAGATCCACAGGCCGCTTTACAAGCACTGGCAACGTTCACAATGGTATCTTGATATCTTGAGGGGCTTGTGGATAATTCCACCTTCACCCAAGACTTTCCCTGGACTCCTTTGATCCTTCTCTTTATTGGTGCCAGAGTTTGACCCATTTCTGGAGGACACAGATGTGCTGGATGGCTATCCTCTCTTTGCAAGGTGACATGGAAGGAACTTTCCCTGTGAGAGATAGAGCAGAGGTTCTTCTAGAGGGAGAGCACCCCCTCTAGGGAGGCTCTGAGGGGGTCTAGGTGGTGACTCCCTCCTGCAGACGGACTATCCCCTCTGCCAATCTGGAAGCAGGACTCACCTCCTGGGAACTACATGGAAAGGAAGATGTGAAACCCCTTCTTCCTTCTCCTAGGGGTCTGTATCTTTTGAATTTACTTTGTTGTGTCTGCTTCTTTTCTCTTCTTTGTTGAAAGCAAAAGGAAACAGGAACTTCACGCTTGTTTATTGAAAAAGGATTGTTGAAAGAACTAAAATGATAGTAAAAATGAACATATAATTGGAGAAATGGCTGATTCTAGGACTGGGGCGGGAAATATACAAGATGAGCCTAGTGCATCTTGTAGTGCCCAAAGGTAAGAAATGCTTAGAAAAAACCCCCTGAAAAACAGACCCACATTGATAGGTACATAGCAAAGGGGCACAGGGGTCAACTGAAAGAGATGCCAATGGCCAAAGATGGAACAATTTGAGCCATAAAGTAAATAAAGTAGTATTAGATTATAACCCAAAGCATAAAATAACTATCCACGAGTCCACACTGATATAGGTAAATGATCGAATAAGTAAATAAATGAGGGAGAAGAGACAAATTTGCCATGCAGAAGAATTGCAAATAAGTTGTGCAGACACTCCATCCTAGAGAAGGGGAGCATAACTCCTCACTTCCTTAAGTGTGGGCTGCACATGGTGGTTTCCTGGCCAAAAAAAAAAAAAAAAAAAAAAAATGTAGACAGTACAGAAGGGGAAAAAAAGAGTAATTTTATAGTGGATAAACCTGACAAACATTACTTCAGCCAGGTGATCAAGGTCAATATCAATAATAATTAGTCATGTTCATCATATGCACCTTTGGTACAATGTAGTAAAAATGGCCTTTTACCTCTGTGATCTCCCCCCCCAAACCCATAACCCCACCCTAAATATGAGAAAAACATCGGACAAATTCCGATCGAGGGGCATCCTACAACATACCTGACCAGTACGCCTCAAAATGTCGTCTTTAAAAACAAGGAAAGTCTGAGAAACTGTCACAGCCAAGAAGAACCTAAAGAAACTTGACGACTAGATGTAATGACTGTGACGTCCTGGATGGGATCCTGTAACAGAAAAAGGACATTAGGTAAAAAAACTCAGGAAGTCTTAAAAAACTATGGACTTTATTTAATAATAATGTATCAATATTGGTTCATTAATTGTAACAAATGTACCATACAATGTAAGATGTTAATAGCAGGGTATACTGTGTGTGTGGGGAGCATATATGTGAACTCTGTATTATTTGCTCAATTTCTCTGTAAGTCTAAAACTGGGCTAAAAAAAGTCAAACTGAAAAGAAAAAGAGGAAAAAAGGCATAAAGACCTGCTATGGACATATAGGTGTGTAGAATTAAATGTGTGCACACATACATACACAAACATACACCGACCAACACCTTTGACAATCCACTAAAAATGAAGGCTAAGATACTGCATGGTTATTATCTTGTGTTTCCTGTTTCTCTTCCATTAGGGGGCGCTAGAGGGAGACCGTGGGGCTGGAGGAGGAAGAAGGGTATGCTCCTTCCTGTCTGCTTCCGCTTGGCTTCTGATCTGCTTCCTGTTCCTCTGAGCTACACTCTAGCAATGCTTTTCCATGTGGCTAGGGGCAATTCCTTCCCATAGTCAGAATTGAATCCAGTTTGCAATTTCTCTGACGTTTTCAAATATTGTGCTCCCTTTCAGAGTCACCAGCACCAGCCACCCCTCCTTTTTATTTATGTATTTATTTGTTTACTTTTCACACTTCTCCAACAGATTTATTATTATTCTTTTGAAAGGAATGGATTTGAGGTGAAAAAACATGGGGCAGAGAGGTATGGAATATAAAATAAATACAAATGTAAGCTGTTTTGCTAATTATTTTATAACCATAAGAAATTAGTACAGAGAATGCCCTGTACAAAACAACACAATAAAGGTTCAAAGATCAAGGTTGTTCCCTTAGGCGAGGCTGAAGACTTCATTTTCTGGTATTTGGAATTTAGGCTGCAGTCCTTGTTTTTGATGGGTCACTGGGTACGTGGCACAGTCCATGCTTCTAACCAGATTTGAACAGAAGAAGTGGCCACTTGGCCCAGGTAGAAGTAGATGAAGTGTTTGGTTTCATGTATCACATAGCTACTGAAGTTCCTCCCCATGGTTCAGTGCTGTACTTCTTGTCAAATTCCTTCTCGATCTGGGCTGCAGTGTCCTTCTCTAGGTTATATTTCTCAAATGCCTGAGTAGTACACTCCACTGAGTCCTGTTGCATCTCCTCCAACATAGCCACATTTTTTTTTTTTTCCGGATGTACATCATATTTCGAATTCTGTGTACATTACATCGTGTTCACCACCCGAACACTAATTATAGTGCATCCCTTCACATGTGAACCTAATCACCCCTTTTCTCTCCCCCCTCCCTCCTTCCCCAATGGTAACCACCAGTCCAATCTCCAATGCTATGTGTATTTTTTTGGCATTGTTTTTATCTTCTACTTATGATTGAGATCATATGATATTTGACTTTCTCCCTCTGACTTATTTCAGTCAGCATAATACCCTCAAGGTCCATCCATGTTGTCACAAATGGCCAGATTTCGTCATTTCTTATGGCTGAGTAGTAGTCCATCATGTATAAATATCACATCTTCATCCATTCATCCTTTGATGGGCACCTAGGTTGCTTCCAAGTCTTGGCTATTGTGTATAATGCTGCAATGAACCTAGGGGTGCAAGTATCTTTATGCCTTTGTGTTTTCAAGTTCTTTGGATAAACACCCAGCAGTGGAATAGCTGGATCATATGGTAGATCCATCCTTAATTTTCTGAGGATACTCCATACTGTTTTCTATAGTGACTGCACCAGTTTGCACTGCCACCAGCAGTGAACAAGGGTTCCCTTCTCTCCACATCCTCTCCAACATTTGTTGTTTCCTGTCTTGTTAATTATAGCCATTCTGACCAGAGTGAGGTGATACCTCATTGTAGTTTTGATTTGCATTTCCCTGATAGCTAATGATGTTGAGCATCCTATCATATGCCTGTTGTCCATCTGTATATCTTCGTTAGAGAAATCTCTGTTCAGTTCTTTTGACCATTTTCTAATTGGATTGTTGGTTTTTTTGTTGTTGAGCTGTATTAGTTCTTTGTATATTTTGGATATTAACCCCTTATCTGATATATGGTTTGCAAATATCTTCTCCCAATTGTTAGGTTGTCTTTTCGTTTTGTTGATGGTTTCCTTTGCTGTGCAGAAGCTTTTTAGTTTGATGTAGTCCCGTTTGTTCATTTTTTTTCTTGTTTCCCTTGCCCAGTCATACATGTGACTTGAAAATATGCTGCTCAGACCAATGTCATAGAGCGTACTGCCTATGTTTTCTTCTAGAAGTCTCATGGTTTCGGGTCTTACATTCAAGTCTTTAATCCATTTTGAGTTGATTCTTGTGCATGGTGTAAGGGAATGGTCTACTTTCATTCTTTTGCGTGTGGCTGTCCAGTTTTCCCAACACCATTTATTGAAGAGACTCTCCTTTCTCCATTGTATGCTCTTGGCTCCCTTGTCGAATATTAGCTGTCCATAAATGTGTGGGTTTACTTCTGGCCTCTCAATTTTGTTCCATTGATGTGTGTGTCTGTTTTTGTGCCAGTACCATGCTGTTTTGGTTACTCTGGCTTTGTAGTATAATTTGAAATCAGGGAGTGTGATACCTCCAGTTTTGTTCTGTTTTCTCAGGAATCCTTTGGGTATTCGGGGTCTTTTCTTGTTCCATATAAATTTTAGGATTCTTTGTTCTATTTCTGTAAAGAATGTTGTTGGAACTTTGATAGCGATTGCATTGAATCTATAGATTGCTTTAGGAAGTATGGACATTTTAACAATGTTAATTCTTCTAATCCAAGAGCACGGAATATCTTTCCATTTCTTTGTGTCTTCTTCGATTTCTTTCAACAGTGTTTTATAGTTTTTGGTGTACAGATCTTTCACCTCTTTGGTTAAGTTTATTCCCAGGTATTTTATTCTTTTTGTTGCAATTGTAAATGGGATTGTATTCTTTTTTTTTTTTTTTAAAGATTTTATTTTTTTCCTTTTTCTCCCTAAAGCCCCCCCCCCCAGTACATAGTTGTATATTCTTCATTGTGGGTCCTTCTAGTTGTGGCATGTGGGACGCTGCCTCAGCGTGGTTTGATGAGCAGTGCCATGTCCGCGCCCAGGACTCGAACCAACGAAACACTGGGCCGCCTGCAGCGGAGCGCGTGAACTTAACCACTCGGCCACGGGGCCAGCCCCAATGGGATTGTATTCTTAATTTCTCTTTCTGCTACTTCGTTGTTAGTGTATAGAAACACAACCGATTTTTGTACACTGATTTTGCATCCCACAACTTGACTGTATTCCTTTATTATTTCTAAAAGTTTTTTAGTGGACTCTTTAGGGTTTTCTAGATATAAAATCATGTCATCTGCAAAGAGTGACAGTTTCACTTCTTCTTTTCCAATGTGGATCCCTTTTATTTCTTTTTCTTGCCTGATAGCTCTGGCTAGGACTTCCAATACTATGTTAAAAAAGAGTGGTGACAGTGAGCATCCTTGTCTGGTTCCTGTTCTTAGAGGGATAGCTTTCAGTTTTTCTCCATTAAGAATGATATTTGCTGTGGGTTTGTCATATATGGCCTTTATTATGTTGAGGTATTTTCCTCTATACCCAATTTATTTAGAGTTTTTATCATAAATGGATGCTGTATCTTGTCAAATGCTTTCTCCGTATCTATTGAGATGATCATGTGATTTTTATTCTTCATTTTGTTAATGTGGTGTATCACGTTGATAGATTTGTGGATGTTGAACCATCCCTGCATCCCCGGAATGAAACCCACTTGATCATGATGTATGATCTTTTTAATGTATTGTTGTATTCGATTTGCTAGTATTTTGTTGAGGATTTTTGCATCGATGTTCATCAGTGATATTGGCCTGTAATTTTCTTTTTTAGTGTTGTCCTTGTCTGGTTTTGGTATCAGGATAATGTTTGCTTCGTAGAAGGAGTTAGGAAGCCTCCCCTCCTCTTCAATTTTTTGCAAGAGTTTGAGAAGGATAGGTATTAAGTCTTCTTTGAATGTTTGGTAGAATTCACCAGGGAAGCCATCTGGTCCTGGACTTTTATTTTTGGGGAGGTTTTTGATTGCTGTTTCTATCTCCTTACTGGTGTCGGTCTATTCAAATTTTCTACATCTTCCTGGTCCAGTTTTGGAAGGTTGTATGTTTCTAAGAATTTATCCATTTCTTCTAGATTATCCAATTTGTTGGTGTATAGCTTTTCATAGTATTCTCTTATTATCTTTTGTATATCTGAGGTGTCCATTGTAATCTCTCCTCTTTCATTTCTGATTTTATTTATTTGAGCCGTCTCTCTTTTTTTCTTGGTGAGTCTAGCTAAGGGTTTGTCAATTTTGTTTATCTTTTTGAAGAACCAGCTCTTGGTTTCATTAACTTTTCGATTGCTTTTTTTTTAGTCTTGATTTCGTTTATTTCTGCTCTGATTTTTATTATTTCCTTCCTTCTGCTGATTTTGGCCTTTGTTTGTTGTTCTTTTTCCAGTACCTTTAGGTGTGCTTTTAGATTGTCTATTTGGGATTTTTCTTCTTTGTTAAGGTAGGCCTGAATTGCTATAAACTTCCCTCGTAGAACCACTTTTGCTATATCCCACAGATTTTGGCATGTCGTGTTTTCATTTTCATTTGTCTCCAGGAATTTTTTGATTTCTTCCTTGATTTCTTCATTGACCCAATCATTGTTCAGTAGCATTTTGTTCAATCTCCACATTTTCGTGGGTTTTCTGGTTTTCTGTCTGTAGTTGATTTCCAGTTTCATACCTGTGTGGTCAGAAAACATGCATGGTATTATTTTGATCTTCTTAAATTTATTGAGACTTGTTTTGTGGCCTAATATGTGATCAATCCTGGAGAATGTTCCATGGGCATTTGAAAAGAATGTGTATTCTGTGGTTTTTGGATGGAATGTTCTGTATATATCTTCTAAGTCCATCTGGTCTAATGTGTCCTTTAAGGCCAGCATTTCCTTATTGATCTTCTGTTTGGATGATCTATCCATTGGTGTAAGTGGAGTGTTAAAGTCCCCTACTATTATTGTGTTACTGTCTATTTCTCCTCTTATGTCTGTTAATAATTGCTTTATATATTTAGGTGCTCCTATGTTGGGTACATAGATATTTACAAGTGTTATATTTTCTTGTTAGATTGTTCCCTTTATCATTATGTAGTGCCTGTCTTTGTCTCTTATTACAGTTTTTGATTTAAAGTCTATTTTGTCTCATAAGTATTGCTACCCCTGCTTTCTTTTCTATTTGTGTGGAATATCATTTTCTGCCCTTTCACTTTCAGTATGTGAGTGTCTGTAGGTCTGAAGTGTGTCTCTTGTATGCAGCATATACATGGGTCTTGTTTTTTTATCCAGCTGGCCACCCTGTGACATTTGATTGCAGCATTTAGTCCATTGACATTTAAAGTAGCTATTGATAAATATGTATTTATTGTCATTTTGTCACTTTTTCTTTTTTCTGGGTGTCTTAGTAGTTCTTCCCTGTTCCTTTCTTTTTCTCTTGCTCTCTTCCCTTGTGGTTTGTTGGCTATCTTTAGTAATATGTTTGATTTCTTTTGTCTTCTTTTCCTGCTTGTTGTAGGTTTCCGATTTGTGATTACCATGAGGATCCTTTTTAATATACTATGCATATAACAGTCTATATTATGTAGATAGACTCTTTAGCTTCACCTCTTTCTAAAAGCTCTACTTTTTCACTCCTCTCCTCCCACAGTATACACTTTTCATATCATAGATGGTCTTTTGTTTAGTGTGTGTCTATCCATTACCCTCTTATCACTGAAATAGGTGATTTTAGTACATTTGTCTTTTAACCTTCATATTATCTTCACAGGTAGTTGATCTGCTGTCTTTACCATATTTTTACCTAACAAGTGATTTTACTGCCTGGCTTTTTTGTTGTCGTTTTGTTTTTTTTGATAATTTTTTTTTATCTGTATTTGTGGTCATTGCTTTCCCACTTAAATAAGTCCCTTCAGCATTTCTTGCAGAACTGGTTTCCTGGTGATAAACTCCTTTAATTTTTGCTTGTCTGAGAAGCTCTTTATCTCTCCATCCGTTCTGAATGACAACCTTGATGGACAGAGTATTCTTGGCTGTAGGTTTTGTCTTTTTAGCACTTTGAATATGGCATGCCATTCTCTTCTTGCCTGTAGGGTCTCGGCTGAGAAGTCCGCTGATAGCCTGATGGGCTTCCCTTTATATGTCACTTGTGGCCTTTCTCTTGCTGCTTTTAGGATTCTCTCTTTGTCTTTAATTTTAGACATTTTGATTATAATATGTCTTGGTGTGGGCCTCGTTGGGCTTCTCTTGTTTGGAGCTCTCTGTTCTTCCTGAGCTTGGATGTCTGTTTCCTTCCTCAGGTTAGGAAAATTTTCCTCTATTATTTTGACAAATAAATTTTCTGCCCCCTTGTCTCTCTTTTCTTCTGGGACCCCTATAATCCGAATGTTAGCACGCTTGATATTGTCCCAGAGTTCCCTTACACTGCTCTCATTCTATCTAATTCTTTTTTCTCTTTTCTGTTCTGCTTGGGTGATTTCCTCTAATCTTTTGTCTAGCTCGCTGATCCGTTCTTCTCCTTCCTCTACTCTGCTCTTGAGTCCCTCTAGTGAATTTCTCATTTCGAGTATTGTATTCTTCATTTCTGATTTTTTTTTAATGTCTTCCAGTTCTTTGCCAATGTGCTCACTGTGTTCATCCATTCTTCGCTGCATATCTCTGAGCATCCTCATGATATTTTGTTTGAATCCTTTGTCAAGTAGGTTGCTAGTTTCTGTTGCACTTGGTTCTTTTTCTGGGGTTTTGTACTGTTCCCTTGCTAGGAAAGTATCCCTTTGCCTCCTCATTATGCCTCTTTGTGCTATTTTCTTTGTAGTAGGTGAGTTGACTAAATCTCCTGATCTTGGAGAAGTGACCTTATGTATGAGTTGCCTTATGAGGCCCAGCAGTGTTTTTCCCTCTCATCACCAGTCCATAAGAACCAGGAGTGACCCCTTTGTGGGCTACTTGTGTCCTTCTGCTGTGGCAGAGTTGCTCCCACTGCAGGTACCCAAGGAGTCTGATCTTTCCTTCCCTGGCCAGCTGTTTGTAAATCCAGTTTGGGGGACCTTAGCACCATTGGCTACAGAGTCTATCAGCACATTCTTATTGCAATTGTCCTCTTAATTGGGTTGGTACCCCACTGTAGCTGGTTGCTAGGCTCAGGGGCGTACAGCTGTGATAGGCCTGAGGCCAACAAGGCTTTTGTCAGTTCTCTTAGGAGTGCAGCTGCTGGGGCTAGCCCTTGGCATGGGGGCACTCAATTGTTTCAGGCTTTGGAAGGTGGGACTGATCCTGTTTATGGCTATTTGTGAAACACAAGTCTTCTGCCGCTGATAAGCCTCACCCCTCCACAGGACCACATACACTGTCAACACAGTCCTGGTCCGTGCACACTCCTCAACCCCCTGGAGTGTACCCCAACACCACACTGCAGAGGCCTCCACCTTTTCCCCAATGCCCCCCACAGTTCACTTGGTCCTCACACAGGCCCTGCCCCACAGAGGCAGACACCCTTGCCTGCCTGTAGAGGATCAAGGGACCCAGTCAATGCAGGCTGAAAAGTAGCCTGAGGGCTTGCTGTTAGGTGGGGCCAGTCCCTAGGGCGGGTAGCCTGCCCTGGCTGAACTGGATTAAATCTGTGCTCTAGTGGGTGTGGCAGACCCCTGGGCTAACTGCCCAAGGGACGCACCTCAATGGCCCCCACCAGTATCCGTATCAGCACGCCTGGTCCAGCTCAGAACAATGGCCCCCACCAATGTCTCAGTCTCTGGAGAGGTCCCTCCTCTCACCAAGATGCCCCCAGAGCCCACCAGGTGAGTCTCGTTTCACCAAAGGATAGTCAGCCTTCTCTCTGGTGATTTTAGGTTGCTGCAATGAGTGAGTTTGTGCGTGGGCCCTTTAAGACCCGGGTCTTTTCGGCTTTCGGAGATAGCTTTTCTGGGGGTGTCCTCACTGCAGTTAACAGACAGCAAAGGCAGACAGTAAGACCCGGGTCTCAGTTGGGCTGAGTCCGAAAGATGCTTATAGCAGTATCGCCCCAGCTCCGGACCTCACTCTTCCAGGGAGGGCTGCGTACCTTAGGTTGGCTCCCGCCTGGCCAGCTGAGAAGCTCCGCTGCTCCCAAAGGTGGCTTTTTTCCTCTCTGGTCGGAATTACTGCCTCTTCTGCCTTCATCAGGAGTGTCTCTTGTCATGGGAGTTCTTTTTATCCAGTTTCCAGTTTTCAATCCAGGGTAATTCTTCCAAAAATTGTTGCAACCTGGTTGTGTTCCTGGGAGGAGGCGAGTTCAACGTCTGCTCACGCCGCCATCTTCCTTTCAGCCTCTGGTAGCCGCATTTTTGATGGTGGCCTTTCAGTCCTATGAGGTTTCCATGGAGCAGTGGCCAGGGGGTGGGAGCTGCCCCACACCTCATTTTTAGAAGTGTCTCCTTTTCAGGTCTCAGGTCCATGGGACTCCTTTCAACTCCTCTCACCAACGCCAGCTGAGGAGCACTCCCTCTTCACATCTCTAAGTTTCAGCTCTGCAGGGTCCCTCCTCCAAGCTTCTAAGTTTTAATAATTCCAACCTCTTCTTTGCTCCTCAGCCCTAGGAGGGTTAGCTGTTTCCTGCCATTGCTACCTCTGTGCTGGAGTCAGCCCATATGGGCTTGCAAGAACCGATTGTTAAATTTTCAGGAATTTTGCAAGTCAGTTGTTAAACCATTGGTAGCTGGAAATCTGCTATGGTAGAAGTATTTACACCTTGGAAATTGGCAAATGCTACAGATCAAGTTTCCCCAACCAAAGAGCTGGTTATAAACACTTAGCAGCCCACCACTGCTTCAGAGTTCTCTTTTTACTCCTTCGGTTACCCAGTTAATAACTTTATACCTAGTTAAGAATCCTTTAGATTTTTTTCTCTCTATTCAATTAACCAGTGTGGTTTCTGTATCCCGAATGGACCCTGAATGATACACAACCTTGTGGAGTTTTGCATCTATCAAACTCAATTATACTCCAGGAAAACTGGTAAGTGTGTGTAATTTTTTTTAAACAAATATCGTTTGTAAAAATTGCCTGACACCTAGGATTTTATAAATATTCCATTAATATTAGTTGTGTTACTAACATTAGTTAACATCCGTAACATGAGTTGATGATGGTTCAGAGTCTCCAGTCATCATGTGGAAGGTTATCTTGCCTGTTTCAGGATGTGGTTTGTAATTCTTTTTTCTGTATAGAAGGGAATGAGATATAGTCACTAACTATGTTTTTGCTGAGCGAGGAGGATAGCATCTTTCTTGAAAAAAACACAAATAAATCAAATCCTGTTTTAAACATGTTGGGGTACTTTGTGTCATAAGGAATCCTATGATAAATCTTTTGTAAAAGAAACAACCGTTCCCTATTCTGGCACTGGTATAGATTTGGTTTCACATGTCAGGTTTCCAAAAAAAGCAAGGTATATTTGATAGCTCTGATTCCTTAAGATACATACTTTGGCTCTCGAGAACTCTATGCTCTCTGTTAAGGCTTTTGATCTCCATTTTGACTGCATAATTTTGCTTATTAGACTTGGAGAAACCTCTTATTGGTTCTCCAAAGCTTTGATCCTGCTCATCATGTCTCTGAGGTTCTGCAAGGTTACATTCTGAAAAGAGATGCCAACACTCTAACACAATCATCAAAATAACTTGTAAGAAAAGCAAACTTTTCACACAAATCCTATATTTAAAGATGCCTTCATTCCAATAACATTCATTAAGCGACCATCTGTTTGCCTTTGATTATCATCTGGACCACTAATAAGCGAGTTTAATCTGAGCAGTGTTATTTGCACGCTACTTCTAAATTTAGTGCTTTTCAAAGAAGTCCGCAAAGCTGGCCTCCAGGAAATATTGGCTTTGATGTAACATCTGGTTTTCAGGGAGTTTCTGTGTTGTGCCCAACTTAGTGGGGAGGTGGACCAAAGGGCCAAGAGAAGCCAAGGGATTTGCCCAGAGTCTTGTAAATAGTTAATGACTTACCTGGATTACCTGTGGTTTCTGTCTGTGGCTAAAATCCTAGCCTGTGTATTTCTATTCTACATGTTGTATAGATACAGTATATGTAGACATGGCCACCCTCCCCAAATATTCACAAATAGATAAGTGTGTGGATCTGTGAGACCGTAGATTTATTTTTTTGCATCTTTCTTTTTGGTATTTCCTCTCTATATTTTGTGGAGAAAAGAAATTTCCCTGCATTACCCTCCCCTTCATTAAAAATTTTTTTTGAAATAAGAGTAAACTGTTATTGCCTGCAGAAACATCTCTGCAAGTGAACTGATCTTTTTCTTTGTAAGGGATACGGAGGGTTAAATTGAAGGGGCAACTCACTTGATTTGGGGACAACTGGACAGTATCATCAACAGGTGTCATCAGCATCAACCTTTTTTCCTTCTCAATTGCTTTCTCCATTTTTTCCTCCTTTCTCCACCCCTGGGCTGGAGATCACAGAGCTGTCATACAGCTGCAATACTTGTACTGCATGATTATAAAGAAAGTTCGAGATTGTGATGCTTTTGTTATAAAAGAAATTCTTCAATTTGTTGCTTTACTGGGTCAATATGTTTTATAATCAACATGTGATTTTAATATCGTTATACTAATTATAACATAATATATTCAATCTAATTAGTGCTTTTAGCTTTAAAGGTATTTTCACACTTATGGTTTAATTTGATCTTCTCAGGTTTTTATTATAAAATAATTTGCGTATTATGTTTGCTGAGAATTATTTTCTCATCACCTAAAGGAACCCTCCAATTTTTGTATAGCCAAGCATATCTTAATATCTTATAAATTAAGGAAATTAAAATTGTAACCTGACAAATTTGGGTTTAAGTGTCAGCTCTTACTGGCTGTGTGACATTGGGCAAATCATTAGATCTTTCTAAGCTTCAGTGTCCTATCTCATAACATTCAAAGAACGAAATGAGATTATATGTAAAGCTATTAGTATGGTCTCTGATACACATTAAAAGGTCAGGAAATAGTCCTCAATTTTCTTTCTTGTTCTTTTTTTTCTTCTATAAAGTACATTAGTGTCCTGTGCTTGGTTCCTGTCTGACTCTTAGAGATTTTATGAAAATTAGTCACATAGTGGAGTGAGAGGGATCTTGGAAATCTTAGAAAGCTTAATTAGAAAATGAAATGAAATGATGTGCTAGAGACTGTTGTATTTGGCTGGACAAGTCCCATTCTCTCTGCTTTGGGTGATGCCACCCCAAAATTCCCTTTAAGGGTGTTCTTTTTGCTCTTTTCTCTGTAGTCTTGGGAGTACTGTGAGAAAAGTGACATGCCCTCCCTTAGCGCAGGGCTGGGCATGAGACCCAGACATTGCAATTGTGCTGCCTCTCCTGGGACTTTGAATCCTGGTGAAATGACACAACGGCAGGAAAACGGTTGAAGTCACTTGAGACCCTGAAGTGACTACCTATCGGAGAGGTCATGTAGTACACTGAGTGGCTAACAGCAGAGACTCAGGAGCCAGATAACCTGGATTCGAACTCCTTACCAGCTAAGTAACCATAGCTAGAGCAAGTTTCTTAACTTCTTTATACTTCAGTTTCCTTCTCTTGAAAATGGAATCATTAATAGTACCTAACTCACAGGGTTCTTGTGAGAATAAGTAAGTTAGACTATCCAAGGGGTTTAGGATGTGCCTGGTATATATTAAACGCAGCATATGTTATAACTGCAGCTGCCAGTACTGGTACTGCCATTACTCTGTTCTTACCTTGAGACACCAGACCTATCTTAGTTGCTGTTCTTCACTGGTCTGGTTCTCCAACCTTCCCTTTGATTCTGAGAGCTACTCAATATTCATTTTATAAACTTTTTTACTGCCTAAGGTAGCCAGAATTGGTTTCTGTTACTTGAAATCATGTGATCTTAAGCAATAAGAATCAGTCTGAGAAACCATGACATCCTATTCCCTCTTTTTATGTGGATTAGAAAACTGGGTGAAATTCCTTGGCTGAGACCACTTAGCAAGTAAGTGGCAGTATTTGGATTAGTGCCTGACTAGCCTGTGCACCCCTGATGGATTTTCTTTACTGGACCAGGATGATGCTTAATTTGTTCTTACTCTTTTCTTTCCTCAAAACAACTCCACTGAGTTCCTTATTACTGAACCTTGCCTAATTTCATTTGCACATTATTTTTGCATTCAGTCTTCACTCCTGTTGTTTGTTTTCCCCCAACTTTATAGACCAGGGAAGTTATAACTTGGGTCTCATTGCTATTTAGGGACTCAATTAGAACAAATGCTTGTCCTTGCCCTGTATTCCATTCCACTATTCACACTCCCGTCTTTTTATTTTGAAAAATGTTATTAGTTTATTCATTTGTTACTTCATTCATTCACATAATCATTCAATCAATAAATACTTACTGAGCATCTACGATGTTCTAGGAACTGTTCTAGATGCTGGGCATATGGCAATGAACAAGGCAACATACTTTACTTCAAGGAACTTACATCCCCAGTGAATTTGCAGACAGATAAGTAAAATTATAATAGAACATTACACAGTGTTAAAATTATCAAGGGTAAGGATTTCGAGAGGGTGGGGTCCTAATGCACATAGTGTATTGAGGAAGCAACATTTGAGCAAACGCTTGACTGCAGTGAGGATGGGAACCCTGTGAATACCTGTGGGAGGAACATTCATTGAGATGGGCATATGCTTGGGATGTTTGAGGAGGACAGAGGCCAGTGTGGCCGGAGGACAGTGAAGAAGAGGAATAGTCAGATCTGAGGCGGAGCAGGGGCAGACCATGTAGGGCTTTGAATTCACAGTAAGGACTCTGGACTTCTTTCTAAGTGTGGTGAGAAGAGTGATATCCTACACATAAGATCAGACTGTTAGCATCTCTTCTCAATGCTGTGTTCAGTGATTTCACACAGATTATTAAACATTGACCAGCATATCACTGGATGGGAAACTCCTGGAGGGTTAAGGGGAGGAGACTGGCATATTCCCATTTACCCTTGAGAAGGCTCACTCTGGCTGCTCCGTGGAGAACAGCTTGCAGGAGACCAAGAGTGGAGGCAGGGGGATTAGCTAATTAGTTAGGAGTCTATTGCTATAGTCTTGGGAGTGTTGGTACTTG